GCAGTGCCCACAGCCCACATTCGGGCAGCCTGCCTTCTTCCTCCCCTCCTCCTGCGCCTGGCAGCAACACTGGGTCACTCAGCCCCAGGCAGGGGACAATGACCACACTGTAGGGAGCCACACATCCACCACATCGGAGTGACTGAGAATAATCCACTAGGGAATCACCTCCACCCACCCCCTGGAACAGCCAGCCCCTTCCTCCCCTCTCTCCAGCTCACCCCAAGGTCCTGCCCACCCCTCCCTGTGACTCAGGGCAAGGAGTCAGCTTCCCGAGGTTTCCATACATCCCCGGCCCCGAACACACATGAGCCAGCATCTGCACAGTTCATCACACCTACCCAGCCTCCCTGCCCCTGAGCTGAGCCTCACTTCCTCCCTCCCTGGGGAGAGGAGCTGACCTCCAAGCCCAGCTGAGGTTCCCAGGCCTCCAGCCTCGGAGGAAGAGAGGGCGGGCTCTGAGAGCTGAGATGCAGTCGAGGCTGTTGGGAAGGGGGAGGGAGCTAGAGCCCGAGCTGGGAGGAGCTCCCCCCCCCAAAATAAAAACCAAAAAAAAGAGCTGAACAAGGACCAGTCCCAGCACCAACCAGGCAAGGAGTAGTTAAGAGAGAAGGGGATGGTAACCTGATCTCTGCCCCAAACCTGGCTTTTTCCCTCAGTCCCACATCCTGTCAAACTGGGCTGAACTCTTGTACTCCCCACATTCCAGCACCACCTCACAGCCCAGCCTCGGTCTGCCTTTTAGGAAAGCGAATACTCCAAGCCCCAAGCTAGTTCTCCTTCAACAGTGGGATCCTGGGTGGCCTCCCGCTCTTACACACACACACACACACACACACACACACACACACAAAACCGGGATGAGAGGAAGTGGATATGAGTCAGAGAGAATTTATAGGAGTTGAGAGGATACGGCCACACTCTCCCCACCAAAGAAGGGGCTCTCTCCGATACCCCAAGACAGGCAAGAAGGCAGGCACCCTGCCAGCAGATCTCCCCCAAAAATGGAAACCACCTTCAAAAAGGGGGTTCCCCGGAAATTCTGCCCAGGTGATCAACTCCCCCCACCCACTCCCACTAGTTCCATTGGTCCAGCTGTGTGAAAAAAACACAGGCTGGGGTAGCCCCGCCTGGGATGGGCAATGTTGATGAAGGACAGTCACCACCCGGGGGAGTACCAGTTGTTTAGGTGTACCCGCCTGCAGTAGGACAGTTTGGGTGGCGCCCCATGGTGGGAGGCGGAGGCCAGAACTCGGGGTCAAGGGCATGCATTAAGTGCCCCGGAGCCCCCAGCTCAATTAGAAGACTTTTCCTTCAGGCTCTCAGTTGGGCAAGAAGGGCAGAGCTGGCCTGGGCCAAGCCAGGACACTAGGCCCAAGGCCAACACGGCAAGGACAGCAGCTTCCTATTAGAGGCAGCCCCAGAACTGCCCCACTGACCCTAAGATGGGCAACCAAATACCACACAGAGGCTGGAATGGAGCCTGAAGCTCCGGGAGCCTTCCCTGAGACCAGACATCCTACCCTCTCCTCAATCATTCTCTAGACTTCCAGATGACCCAGAGGTGGGCTGTACCCAGCAGATCGGCCCTGAGGTCTATGGAAGGAATCAGATACCACCTCGACTTTAAAACCAGAAGTGAGAACAGGACTCAGCGTGGGATCCTCCCAGCCCAAAGCCCCAGGATAATCCTTAGCCAGGCTGGGGAGTGTAAGGGACGGGTCTGGAAGGGAGGAGATTCTTACTTACACAAAAAGGAGCTGGATCCTTCCCAATCTCCCCTACCTCCCGCCCCAGGCCCACTCCAGGAACCTTCCGGGGAAGTGTCCACACCTCTCCGAGCAGTGGCAGCCCCCACTGATCACACCACGCCCCTATTCCCGCCGTTCCACCGGCCCGGCCTGGGGGAATTCCCACCTCCACCCGGATTTGCGCCGGGACCCACAACCCACCCCAGGTCCACATCGGGCCGCCCAGCTTGGGAGCTACAGCGTTGGGCTTGGGCTCCCTCGCGGAGACCCAAGTTGCCTTCTGGCTTCTCGCCCGGCGGGGCAGGTTCCAGGAAGCCGGGAGGGAAAGGCAGGGACCCAGCCTCGGACACAGGAGCCGAGAGGCCCTGCGGGGCAGTTCCCAGAGTAGGGGGGTGGGGAGGAGACCTCGCTGCAGCCCAGGGAGGGGCCGAGAGGCCCCGACCCCCGCACAGCCCAGACGCTGAGTCCCAAGGGAAGGAGGGCGGCCCGCGCTCTGGCCGAAGCCCCCTCTCCGGCCGGCGCCCCGAGCTCCGGCCAAGAGGAGGGGAGCGAAAGTGCCCTCCTGGGGACGAGTTCCCGGGACGCCCCGCCACCCCAGCCCCCGGCCCGGGTACCTTCCGCTCCGCTGCCTCCAGCTGCGCGGCCAGAGCCGGAGGCTGACTGACCCGGGGGGCCCCGCCCCGCCCTCCTTCAGCGCAGCGGCAGGGAGGGGCGGGCCCGGCTGGGGGAGGGACCGGCCGGGGGCGGCCCTTGGCTCCGCCCGCCCACCGCCCAGCCCGGGGCCATCGGTGCTGGCCCCAGCCGCTGGACGGGGGTCCGGGGCGGGGGATGCCGGGAGGGTGGGGGAGGGGGCGGCAAGCGGGCCCCCTCGAGGACTCTGTCTCTGCTCCGCCTTCCCTCCCCCAGGGGTGGACCGGCGTCGGGAAAGTTGCGAGGCGCTCGGGGTGGGGTCGGGAAAGGGCCGCTGCTGCCCTCCCGTGGCCAAGCGGCCACCCGCGCCTACACACCCCCAGCCCACCCCACCCCCCGGGACCTCGCAGGAGGGGGGCTGCGGAAGATGCCCGCCCTCCGTTCGTAAAATCCCGAGGAGTAAGTACCTCTCAACATCGCGCCCCAACCTTGAGGACCTTTCACATCCTTTGAGACCCAGGCCACCTTCCCACTTAACAATTCCCGTCCTTCCCCCAGCCTGAGTCCAATTACTGCGTACCCCTCAAAGGGCGCTCCTAGAAACCTTTCCTAACCCCCAGCTGGGAACTCAGCTTCCATCCCCAATGCGTTATTTCGGTGCCGCTAGAGACACTTGGCCCGGTCTCATATGTCGCTCTCGGTATTTACCTGGACGGGTATCTCTTTTTCCTGTTGAGGTGGCTGAGAAGGTTGGAGGATGAGGAAGCCTACCAATATTTTATTAGCTTGTGACCTGTACGCTACATACTCATGGATCTCTGAGTTAAGTATAACCATCTCCTTTTGCCTAAGGATACTGAGGCTCAGAGAAGTTAAATGCATTGCCCAAATTTTTGCTATTATTATGTACGGGAGAATTCAGATAGGCCTGGCTGGCTTCAGGGTGGGTGCTCTCTCCCTGCTGTCCGTTATGCTCCTCCCACCCACCCCCCCTTCCCCACTGCTTAGCACACTGCCTGGCACATAACAGGTTTTCAGGAAATTACCGCTGAATGAATGAATGTCGGCAGTCATTAGATTTTAAAGATCTGAAGTGCAGCCCACACATTTGATAAATGAGTAAACTGAGGTTCAGAGAAATTGGGTCCCCAGACCTCTTAACTGACCCAATGAACATGGTGCATGTAAATGGAGAGCTACGTGCTCAGTTCAGATTGAATTCTGCCTTCCAAGAATTTACAGTTCAAATTTGAAGTACAACTTAAAGAGAGTAAGTTTTTGAACCCTTATTACATGCACCTGGCTCTACATACATACCCAGACTACTTTAGTCCTTAAAGCAATTCTAGGAGGTAGCACTGCTATCTTCATTTTGCTGAGAAGCAAACTGAGGCTCAGACACGTTGCAGAGCTTGTGGTAGGTCTGGCCACAGAACCCACACAGCAGGACTCTAGAGCCTCCACCCTTAACTGCTACTCCATACCCACTCCTTTATTTTTTAAATGTATACTTATTCATTTTGAGAGATAGAAAGAGTGGGAGGGGGGGAGAGAGAGAGAATCCCAAGCAGGCACCCCACTGTCAGCACAGAGCCCCACATGGGACTCGATCTCATGAACAGTGAGATCATGACCTGAGCCAAAATCAAGAGTCGGTCGCTTAACCAACTGAGGCACCCAGGCGCCCCCATTACCCACTCCTAATGTAGACAGTTACATTACAGCAGGCAGTGGCTGTAGTGGGGACACGCATGCACTGCAGGACACCCAGCCCTGAAGGACAGGTTAAGTGTTCCAGATAAGGTGATGTGCAGACATTAAATGAGTTGATGCCACAATAGGGCTCAAAGAATTATGGAACCCCTAGGGGTGGGGGTGGAGCTGAAAGATGGGGCTGGGGAAGGAAGGAGTGGCCCGATGATGAATGTCCTTGTATGCCATACTCAAGAGCTGAGTGTTGATTATGGTCTAGGTGCAATAGGGAGCCACTGAAATGGCCTCTCAAGAGAATAACCAATCAGATTCACACTGTGGAAAGGTCACATTGGGGCATACAGGGACATGACCTGGAGTTAGGAGGCTAACGTAGTAGCCACAGTAGGGGTGGGGACAAATACGAAATGTATTTTATGTATATGTATATATATATATACATAATATATATATATAATATATATAATCAGCAGTACTTAGTGATTGATTCACTTGTTGAGTAAAGACATGCCAAAGGTGACCAACTCTGAGATTTCTAATTTGAGCTGATGAGCTGGTGGTGCCCGCTGACATAGTGAACCAGGAGAAGGCACGCATCTGTAGGGAAATGGTGGGTTCTGACATACGCTGAGCTGAAGTGCCTGCGGGATGTCTAGCACATGTTCGGGGAGACAAGTAGGCTAAGTGGACCTCAAGTTCAGGAAAGGCCTGGGCTGGAAATACTGACTTGGAAAACGCCAGCAGGTGGATGAAGCCATGGACGTGGATGAGAGCACGTGGAGAAGGAAGAGCAGAGGGTGGAAGGAGGAGCCTGGGAGCACTACATTTTTAGGACTGCTTTGGGGTGTTCTTTCCACCACCCTAAAGGGCCTTTTAGTTTCCAATCACAGTAAATAAAGACACACGTTTGTATCCATGTGGTTTATTTGCCAGTAGCTATAATTCTGGATCTAACTGACACCCCTTCTTCAGTTAGGTTGGCACTAAAGAAGGTCAGGGAGACAACTTCTGAATTTGGGTTGGCAGAGGGTAAGCATGGAGAGGCTGGGATGGTGGTGGCAGGGGCGGGGCTGAGCCCCTCAGGAGTAACTGCCTGGCCCTCCCAGGGGGATGACGAAGACCGAGATGTCATCCCCGGAACCCAGCTTGTTGTTGGGGAGACGCCAGCCACGGTCCCGGGGGGTGCCCCGGGCCCCCAGAACCAGAGCTTGGGCCAGAGCTGTGTACCTGCCAGGAGCACATGTGCACATTCATGTACCAACATGTAAACGGGAAGATCGATACACAGGCCCTCAGGTGGGTTTGCCCCTACCTTCCCCACTGTCATCCCCCACTGCCATACAACTCCTACCTGCTGGGGTCATTGGGCTCATAGGCTGACAGCACCCTGTCCACAGTGGCAGCTACCTCACAGTCACTGGTGACATCCCACAGCCCATCTGTTCCCAGGACTAGCACATCATCCGGGCAGTGTTCATACTGTGTCAGGTCATACACTCGTACCTGGTGGGGAGAAGAGAGTGAAGAAGGAGCTTGGTGACAACAGGACCCCGGTAGGAAGCCAGCCCGAGGCCCCCCAGAGGCGGGAAGGAATGGCTGAGGAAGCCCCCACACGGCTCACCTCGGGGAAGCAGGAGAGGAAGGGCTTGATGGGCAGAGTGGAGCTGCAGACCTTAAGGTTGTGGTCTCCCAAGCCCCGGGTCACCCCGATGGTGGCCATCACTCGAGCCTAAAGGGAATGAGTGTGGGTGCCGCCACAGCCCTCTCCCAGGCTCCAACTGTGGGCCCTCCCACCCCTACCCTCAGGTAGAACCTCCGCCTCCCTAGACAAGTTGTGGTGGGTCCTCCTGCCCTCTCCCACCTCTACCATGGCGTTTACCTTTTTGCCCTCCCCACAGACCAGAGGAAACCTGAGATCCTCCAGCTCGATCTTTTTGTAGGCCCTGGGGAGGGGGGAGTACAGGAGGCATCACCCAGGCATCAAAGCCTCCCTCCCCTAGGAGCCGTGCCCCTCACACAAACCCCTACAAAGGACCACATCCCACCCCCTCCTCCCAGCCTGGCCCAGCCTCCAGCTTCCACCTTGCTCCCCGTGAGGGATGGCTGTGTTGCCGTGGGAACGGGCCCCAGCTCTAAGGGAAGTGTTACCAGCCAGTCATGTTCTGGTCCCGGTACAGCATCCTCTGCCCCAGCTCCTTGGGCTGAATTCTGCGGGGAAACTCTAAGTGGGTGAATTCACCACCTAGCAGCTCTGGTTTCAGGAAGCCCTGGGATTGGGAGCAGGCAGACAAGAGCAGAGGCCAGGGGGCATTAGGCTTGCAGCGCACCCCGGTGTGTCCCCGGTGTGTAGACACTATTAATCCCAGCAGAACCTTGAATGGAGTGTGCCATGCCATGTGCCATTAGTATCTTCGTAATACTAATATATAGGACCTCATTTAACCCTCACAACAATCCTGAAGCCAGGAACTAGTGTTACAAGGGAACCGTCTGAAGATCAAGTAGCAAAGTACTCGAACTAGGATTCAAACCCAGGCAGTCCAGCTCCAGAGAGTACTTTAAAGCATGAAGCGCTGCCTCTCAAGGGCCTTTGCTATTTCCTTTCCCCACCTCTGACTCCACTTCCTTCCTCAGCTGGGGTCACAGTGGGAGCACTGGAGTAGCCCACGCTCCTTCCCGCGACATGTTCCACCAGCCATGGTCTGCCGAGCAGCCTTCCCAGGGAGCAGGAGAGGAGCTGTCAGTGCGGTAGAGCTGGGACACAGGCTACAGAGAGCCAAAAGAGTCCACAATGAACGGGGGTAGAGAGTTTAGCTCCTACTTACAAGCAGCTGAAGACGCTGGCGCTCAGTCTCCGGGGTGAACTCCCGGGACATTGGAATGATTTCACCATTCCGGACAATGATGGCTCTGCCCAGAGAAAGAAAAGGTTTGGGCTTGGCTCTCCTCAGCCCCCTTGTGGAGAATTCCAGAAAGACCAGGCTTTCCCCATAATAACCCTTAGGGTTCCACACCCAGACCCCCATCTTTCCTCCCCTTGTGGCTACTTCCAGCCCTTCCTTATGTCCGTGACTGCTCCTGACCCCATCCCTCCCTCGTTTTTTATTTTTAACACCCACCACCTCCCTCTTTTCTATTCCCACATCCCAGAGAGTGTGACCCCTTGTAGGCATTTTCAAACCCCTGCCACACACACCATACCTGCTGTCACCTGCATTGGCCACATACACCTTGCCTAGCAAGTAGACCACAACCAGGGCACAGCAGCCCCCCTCCACTTGGTGGCCGCGCCGCTCCCGGGCCATCTGCTCATCCTGCCAAGTGAGGGAGGGTCAAAGGGGGTGAATGAAGAAGAGGTTCCAGGCACACAACCACTGCCCCTATCTGCAGAAATCAACTGGCCCAGCCAAGCTACACTGGAGGAGAGGAGGGAAGACATGGGTATAACTACCCCTTCCCTCCCTTCTGAACCAAGCTCTCGGCCCTCGACGATGTTGTGGGTTCTCAGGGTTACCCGCTTAGGCCACCTGATTCCCATCCACAGTTGACCAGAGTGACTGCCTAGCAGGCTCTTGCCAGGACCACCCACTCACCATAAACTGGAAGGCATTCTCAATGGCCCCCACTACCAGGCTCTCATGGGTCACTTCCTTCTGCGAAGACCAGCAGGACTGAGGACCAACCAAGTGAGAAGGATCAGAGGAACCTGGGGCCCCTGGGGTAGAAGGGAGGCAGAGGGGAGGTGGCGAGGGGTCCTGGAGTATCTCCACCAGGTCCTTTAGCTGCTCCCGGATGTGGCGATGAAGGAGCCTGGAGGCCATTTCGGCAGCTCCGCCCCCTGCATGCCCATCAAACAGGCCCCAGTAGTAGAAGCAGAGTCCCTGGTGAAGGAAAATTTGGAGGTGAGTGAGGGAGTGTGTGGTGTGTGTGTGTGTATGATGCAAAGAGAAGAGCAAGCCTCTGGGGCATCCATATAAACATCAGAGAGGAGGTCAGAGTTTGGCCTTAAAGGCACATTGGATTTGTTCACTCATTTACCAAGGGCCTATTATGTGTCAGAAGTAAAGCATCAAAACAGCCAAACTCCAAGGATAAAATATGCAAAAATATGTATTGGTAATTAATTACATCATCCATAAATACAGTAGTACCTATATTCTAAGTGGAAAACTGAACATTTACACTGACATTCTAACTGTCCAAACACCCCCATAAAGGTTCTGTGCCAGAGGTAGAAAGCTAGTGAGTTAGGAGTCAGGTCTTCCACATGTCTCAGATGTAAAACCAGATGCCTAGCATCCCCTGGAAGAGGTGTTGCCAGGCTTCTGGAGGCCAGGGTGGGGGTGGGGGCTTACCTGGCCTTGGCTAGGCTCCCTAGGCACCCCTGAAACACTCCTCCGACCTTCCACATACACCACTTCACAGCAAGCCTGGTCCTCATTGTGCCGGCTTTTGCCAGCATTGATGACCCTGCCAGGCCAGAGTGACCACATCAGGTTGGACAGCAGACCAGGTCCTGGAATAACCCCCACCTTAGACACACACACCCTCTCTAGCCTGCTGGCCAAACTGAGAAAGGTCACAGCCACCTGGGATCCAGGCCAGAAAGAGGAGGGGAAGGGAGGCAGCGCAAGGCACAAGGAGTCCTGTCTGGGTGTCAGGCCCCACCACCCACAGAAAAGCCAGCAGCAGCACCTGCCTGCCTCAGTTCCCCCATCCCCAGCATAGGGGGCACCCCTGTGGGCTGCTGGGGAAAGGGCTGGACAGGGGCGGCAGGAGGTCTTACGACCCTGCTTGCCAAGACCCTACCTCCCGCCCTGAAGCCTAGTCAACTTTTCTAGTGCCTTGTCCACAGCACCCCACCCTCATGGGCACACCCACTTTATCTTAAAAACATCCAGGGAAAGTTTCTGCTGCTTTGGCAGTGAGGAAGTGCTCCAGCCCAGATAGGGAAAGAGGAATTGAAATAGGGTAGGGGTGGAAGCCCACCTGGACTGTGCAGAAGCCACATAAACCACCGACTCTCCCCAAACAGAAAGCTAAAGGAGCTGGCGGTGGGGCCACGGGTCTACCAGCCACCACCCTCAGCGACCTCAGCGCCCCAGTCTCCCTCAACGCTCTGATTTCCCAGTAGATGTATTAAAAATACACCCGGCCAAGGAGCAAGCCGGCTGCTCCCGCCACTCTGACCCGGGGTCTGCGTCTTTGCCTGGCCAGCGCAATGCTCCCTGCCAAGGGGAGTTCGAAGGAGACCCTCCTGCTTCCCCAGGCGGCCCCCTCCCCCGCTCCTGCGGACGCCGGACGCCGGCTGGTGTCGCGGGCTATTTCTGGGTGTGGAGGGGGAGGGGAACGGTAAGAGGGACAGGGAACTGGGGCGCCGGGGTCGGGAAGCCCAGGAGCGAATCTTCCCAGCCGCCACCTCCCCTATGAAAAGCGCCCCCCGCCTCCTTGAAGCCCCGCCTCCCTTAGCCATTAAACTGCCCGGCCCCGACAGAGAACAGGCCAACTCATCCTTCCCGGGGCCCTCCGTCCTCCGGGCTCTGGAAGGGAACAAGGTCCTGAGGCGGCGCGGGTGAGGGAAGTCAACGAGCTGGAAGATCCTGAGGAAGACTGCACCGACTTGAGAAAGGGCTGGGAGGGGGTGCAGCCCGAAGCCCAGAGGATAGCAAAGGTCCTGGGAGAAGGGAGTTCCCGGCGCCGAGCGCCGCCGGGGGCACGCATCCCGGCGCCCGGGACGCCCAGCTGGGGAAGGGGCTACGGGGCTGGGGGCCCCATGCTGGCTAGGGTGCTCCCGGGGGCGCTCACTCGGCGTAGCCCGTGCTCCAGGGCAGGCGACGGCCGGTGTCCGGGGGGCTTTGCACAGCCCGGCCAGTGTGGTCGTCCGCGCGTCGCAGCCCCCCTGGGCTCAGTTGCAGAAAGGTCGGTCGGGAGAAGCTCGCTCGAGCCTCTACGGTCTTCGCGGGCGCCGTGCTCCCGCTCCCAGACCTCGCCGGAGGGCTCCTGGACGATTCCGGAGGGGCGGCAGGCTGCGCGGAGGGCGCGTTGGACAGATCTGGGGACTTGGGGCGCGGAGGCGGGGCGCCCCCAGAGCTCACCAGGTGCGCCACGGCCGAGCGCACCCGGTTTAGCATGCTGCCTCCCTGCCCCGCCCTCGGCCGTGGCCCCGCCCCGAGTCAGGCCCCGCCCCCTAGGGCGCGCGGTGGGCGGTGCTCGCTTCTGCCGGCTCTCCGCAGACATTGGCTCCGCGAGGGCAGGGCGGGTCCCAGCAAAACTGCCTCCGACTCTGGACCGCCCTCGGCACCGCCCCGCCGGCTCGCGGCCTCTCCCCTCTTGGTTCCAGCTCCGCTCTGCCTCAGTTTCTATGGGGAAGAAGAGTCTGCTGTTGTGGGAAGGGGACGGAGGGAAGGACACCCTCCATATTAGACATCAGCTAGAACATCCCCCATTGTGACGGGGTGGGTGGTGTCTCCTCGCCTTCCGTTCCCTAGCAGCAAGCCCGCCCGGAGGATGATGGAGCTGATGACCTCAGAGCGAAACCAGCAGCTTCCGCGACTGCTGGGTGTGAAGCACCTGGTGTGACAACACCTCTGGCTGGGGCTGCTGGAGTGAGAGTGAGGGCCAGCCAGCTGGTGCTGGGTGTGCTGTGGGGGTGTGAACGACGCGGGCTGGAGTCGACCATCCTGAATTAGGAAGCTGGGGGTAAGTTCCTGGGCTCCTGAGACGGCGCTGCTCCCCATGACAATTACCTTTAGATCTGGAAGAGTAGTTACCACTCCGACACTTTCTCAGGACCTAATTCCCTGCCCCCTCCCGCCCCCACCGCTTCATTTAGACCTCCCCTGACCACAGCAGGACTAGAGGAATAGTTAGTAAGGTAACTACAATAACTGCTATTTATGGCGGACTTTCTAAATAGTAGGCCCGCTGCAAAGCACTTTCTGTATATTAGACCATCTATCCCGCACGACAGCACTTCAAGGTAAATTTTATTATGCTGCTTTTTTTTTTTTTTTTTTTTTTTTACCGATGACGCACCTGTCATTTTATAGGACTTGCCTCAAGAGGTCACACAGTCAATGAGAGACTCACACCCGTGCCAGTCCTCCGACGCCCTAACTCGATTCTGTCTGATGAACCAAGCTAATTTGTCGGGATGGTGGAGGAAGGGTTAAGGAGGAGGTGAATGGCAAAAAGTGGAGATTCCTCCTTCCTCCAACTCAGTTCTGTAGGTACCGCCAGAGGGAGACAGAGGCAAGGCTAAGCACCTATCTGAAAGGAAAAGGTGGCACCAACTTGGTGCCCTGTTCCCAAACCTGGTTGCAGGGAAGTGATCAGTAGATCTCCAGAGAACCTCCTACGCTGTCCAAATGGCCCTTGTGGCCTTAATGCAAGTGAGGGGTAGCCCTCAGGAATCACTGGCACCAAGTCCGTGATTGGGATGCCATCTCTGGGCTCTGTGGGCCGAATGCTTCCTGAACATAACCCTCTCTCTTCCTGAGCTAAAGTATACCCCCAGAAGGAGTGGCTTTCCTGGCAGCTTCCGAATAGAAATCGCATAATGGTCTTTCAGGTCTTTAGATTTACTGTAATTATACCTACACTCTGGGCAGAGAAAGGCAGAAAAATAGAAGTCACAAGAAAAGAAAAATCAGACCCAAAGGCACATAGAGTGGCAAAGGCAAAGGAGGGTGAAGAACTCGGTGCTGCTGTGGGTATTTCCCTCCTAGTTGAGAAAAACAGGAACCAACTGTCTGATAAATGGTATAAACCACAGCAGCAAGCAAAGACTGATGGAAAAATATAACATCCTGGCTATTTTTATTATTCAGTGTTTCTGGGACAGTTTGCTTACCACTTCTGTGTGTCACCCTGCTCCCTAATCCCTACTCTTCACAGCACCCACCATGGTGTGGCTGCAAACAGGCCACAGAGCCAGGACAGAGAGACCCCTAGCTCCAACACCAGATGGTCAGCAGGGAGGTCAACAGCTCTCTTGGGGTCAAGAACAGCACCCCCTCCCACCCCCACCACCTAAGCCCTAAGGCTCTCCCCTCTCAGACCATCTTACCTCTGATTCCTGGCATCATCACACCTCCTCCATCCTCAGAGTGCCCCAGAACCTGGTAAGAAGGTCATCACTTCTACTCATCCCTGAGGCAGCAGAAAGTGAGAGCGAAAAGGGGTGGGGTAGGAGGGCAGACTTGAGAGATATTTTTCTTGGCTGAGAGCTGAGACTGCTCAGTGCCTGGCCCTGCCAGGAGTGCATGTGGCCTTAGCCCGTGAGGGTGGCTGGGAATCCTCAAGACAGGCCCCTTTATCCTAGCCATAAGCAGGAGCTCAGAGCTCAAAACTAGGCTTCGTTTTAAACTCCTCCCTTACCTCTCCCCACCCCACTACTCCAATCCCAAAGTCCTCTTAAACTAAGAGGAGTGTCCCTCCTGCTAAGAGACAAATTCACAGACCCCTTTCTTCTTCCATTTGTCTAAGGCTTTCACAGCCAAAATCTTACCCTGTAAGGAATTATAAAATTGCAATTATATTGTAGTTTATATAATGAACATACTGGCTCAAGTTTGGTTCTCAGGTTGGGGTTCACAGCCATCCCCCGCCCCCACTGCTCCACTGCTGGCCGCCTCTACCCACCTGGTTCTGGCTCTGTTTTGCCTCAGTTTCTTTGGGGGAAGAAGGGTCTGCTGTTGTGGGAAGGAGGAAGGACACCCTCTAGACTGGACATCAGCCAGAACCTGGATTTTAACATTTTCATGGTGGAGGGCTCACATATCAATCTAGAAGTGCATTGTCTCATAGAATTTTGTGCCATGCTGGGAATGTTCTGAATGTTCTGTATCTTTTCAGTACACTAGTCCCTACCTTCATGTAGCTATTGAACACTTGAAATATGGTGAGTGCAAATAGTGTTTAGGGGCACCTGGGTAGCTCTGTCTAAGCCTCTGACTCTTGATTTCCACTCAGGTCAAGAGCTCATGGTTTGTGAGTTCTAGCCAGCATAGAGCTCTGTGCTGACAGTGCAGGGTCTGCCTGGGATTCTCTCCTCCTCTGTCTCTGACCCTCCCCCGCTCATGCACACATGCCCATTCGGACCTGCACTCTCTCCCTCTCTCAGAATAAATAAACTTAAAAAAAAAGAATCAATATTTAGATTTAATTTATATGTAAATTTAAATTAAATTTTTTTTGTTTATTTTTGAGAGAGACAGAATGCGAGCAGGGGAGGGGCAGAGAGAGGGGGAGACACAGAATCTGAGGGATCCTCAACTCCATTCTGGTATTCAGGCTGCTAACTCAGCCTCACCATAGCCTGCATCTTGGGTTTGGGGAAGACAGCCTGGCAAACTGAGGTAGGAGAGTGGAAGCCCAGGAAAATCTCAGCTGCAGGCTGGGAGCTATCAGCACTAGCTGGTTGTGGGCTGGAACTCACAAGCAGTAAGATCATGACCTGAGCCGAAGTCTCATGCTTAACCAACTGAGCCACCCAGGTGCCCCAACTTATATGTAAATTTATTGCTCTTTAATTTTTTAAAGTGTATTTATTTTGAGAGAGTGAGAGAGAAAGAGCACGAGCAGGGAAGGGGCAGACAGAATGGGAGAGGGAGAATCCCAAGCAGGCTTCACGCTGTCAGTGCAGAGCCAGATGCAGGGCTGAACTCAACTGTGAGATCATGACCTGAGTCAAAATCAAGAGCTGGAGGCTTAACCGACTGAGCCACCCAGGCGCCCCTATATGTAAATTTAAATAACCACTTGTGGTTAGTGGCCATCAGTCTGGATAGTGGATTTCTAGAATCTTCAAGACTCAAAACCCCTGGATATCTTGGCAATCTCTACTCATACTCAGCCCCCTCCCACCCTGGAAGCCACAAGACGGAGAATTTTGCGGGACCTCTTTAGGTTACCGGTCCTGCACCTGAGAGATAGATGCTCACCAGGACTGCTAGGCGGGGGGCCGGCCTCGCTCTTCTTCTTTCGGCCGCCAGGGGCCGCTGCGCCCGCCTAGCCGAGCGCTCGGCGCCGCGCGGGTCGCTGTCCGAGAGGAGGCGGCTGCGCCCACCGGCGGCTGGCGGAGCAGGGGTGGCCCCCGGCGACCGGGAGGCGGCGGCGGCGGCTGTGCGCGCCCTGGGCTGCCGGCGGGAGCGTCGGAAGGACCCCGCCTGAGCCTTGCGGGGCGGCGCCGGGCACCCCCGTGATGCCAGTTTGGCCGGAAACCCCGACGCCTGCGGGATGCCGCAACTCGGTGAGGGACACCCGACTCCAGACTCAGAAACACCCAAGCTGGCCACTCCAGCCCGAAGTCCGCCTTTCAGAATCTTGGTGCCGGACTCAGAGGCAAGTGAGCACCGCTGTGGGGCAGACAGATCCGGGGGGGCGGGGTGGAGGGGAGGGAGGAGGCTCAGAATTTGGAGGAGGGGGCGGGCGCTGGAGGGGGCCGGGAGAAGGCAGGTCAAGCTTAAAGGCTCTTGGGGTCCACATGCTTGACTCCATGCTGGTATGCCGGCTGCTAACTCAGCCTCACCATAGCCTGCATTTGGGTTTGGGGAAAACAGCCTGACAAACTAAGGCAGGAGAGTGGAAGCCCAAGAAAATCTTCGAAGCTTCCCTCCCCTGCCCTCTCCGCCTTCTCCCTGCGGGAGGGAATAGAATGCCAGAGAACTCAGCCCAAATGCATGCTGCCCATCTTTGGGTTTGGGGATTGATGGGAGAGTTGGTTTGGAGGGTGTGGCAGCTCAGAGAGAAAAGGGGTGAGGACTGCCTGAGAGAAGACAAAGCTGGATCTGTAATGATGGAATGAAGTTTCCCAAGGGGGACAGGGAGAGGAGACACCTACTTCTGGGAAGCTCTTGCCTGTGGAGCACACCTATCTCTGGGGTATTGGCATCACTTCCTCCATCCATCCCCATAGTCCTCTCTGGGCCCCACCTTCCCACCTGCCTCATCTCCACCTCCCTTTGGAGGCTGAAGGATGAGAGAGCTAGGGAGAAATGGAGAAGCTGTTGAGCTGCGGCCCCTGAGGCCAGAGACTGGTAGGAACCCCATTCTAGCCTCTGGAGTGGAAATGGGCGTGAGGGTGGCAGAGTTGAGCCAGCTCTGCATGAGTCCAGGACACAGGTGAGGGTCGGAGGTGGAGGCAAAAGGCTCAAGACCTTTGGGTCTTTTCCAGGTGCGTCTTGGAGCAGAATTCTGTCAGAGCTGCTCAGGAACCCTTCAGCTGACCTTCAGCTAGCTCCTAGCTCCTCCCTCCACCCCCCACCGCCACCCAAGGCCAGAGAGGTGGTAGCATTGATTCCTGCACCCCTCCCTACCATCCACCCTGCTTCACCCGCAGGGACAGTAACCCATAGGCTACTCAGGCTAGCTGCCCGACCTGTTGCCACAGTCTGCAAGGATCCCTGTGAATTCCTAAGGCAGAGGAGAGACTCTGTGCCCTGCCCTGCACTTTGGGGAACAGCTTCAGAATTGGACTCTACTTCAGTGCCACCCCTTGTCCTCATCCGGAGGACAGGGCCATGGGCTCCTTCCGACCCTTGCAAGCCCCAAAGAGTCTTTCTTCCTTGTCTAGGTGGTGTGAGTCTGAGACCAGCAGATGAACAGACAGAAGCTGAAAGATCCCCAAAAAAGGTGAGTGAGGAGACAGTTGAAGTGGGGGACAGTTGAAGAGGGGATGGGGGTGGGAGCCGTACAGAAATCAAGCACCCTGTCCAAGGTTCTGGCATTTGGCTTGGCCTCTGGTGTTCCCAGGACTGTGCTGACACAGTCAGCAGTCCTGAGGGACCCCAACAATGTCCCAAGGGGCCAGCAGTGCAGCAGAGGGGATGGTCCAGACTCCTTCTATGCCTGGGCAGCTCCCTGCTGCTCTATGCCTCTGCTTCCTTGGGATCCGCTCCATTTCTAGTTCATCCTCTGGGGAAAATGGGAGGCGGGACCCATCAAGGATGGGAGAAGAGGAGAGGAAAAGCAAAATGGTACAGTAGGAATAAGGTGGGCTTCTGGGCCCTGGGCTCTCCCACCCAACATGCTGCCTGGCCTTGGACAGTCATTTGACTTCTATTAGCCCTAGTTTCATTTCTTCTTTTTTAAATTTAAATCTATTTAAATCAAATTGCTATTACATTCCCACAGTTCAAAACCCAAAACATAAAAAAGCAGTAGGTAAGGCCTCCCTTCTTCCTCTATCTCTCAGTTCCCCTTTTTGGTGCCAATCAGTGTTACTAGGTTTCTTTGGTACATTTTCCAGAGCTAGCTAATGAATATTTACACAACATATATAATCCTTCCCTTGCATGCATTTTATACACACCGTCCTGCACTTTGCTTTTTTTCCCCTTCGTTGTGAATTATCGTTAGAAATCACTGCATGGCTCAGCACCTACAGCATTTCCTCAGTCTGTTTTATAGCTGCCTGGATGAAACTGCATTTGCATAGGTGCTCCACAATGTATTTAGCCCGTACTTTATTGATGGCTGTTTAGGTTGTGTCCAGCCTTTTGAGTATCAGTTTACTCATCTGTCAAATAGGTACAAATAATCCTTTGTCGGACAGTTGTGGAGGCTGCAAGAGCACATATGTGAAGTGCTTGGGTCAGGGAGTCAGTAGTCTGGTTCCTCCTGTGTCCTCCAAGGGGCCGCATCTGGTTTATCCTCAAACACCCTCTTAAATGTTACCTCCCCCACAAAGCTGTCCGTGCCTTTCCCGGCGAGACAGCTTCCCCTGCTCCCTTTCCCTACTGTAGTGCTCACCGCTTCGTACAGTAAGTTTGTGCCAGGCGGAGAGCTGCCTGGGGCAAGGTGTGCATCCTGCCCGCCTCTGTTGATCCCAGAGCATGCAGCCTGGAGGTGGGGGGCTGCGCGGCCGGGAGCTCCTGGCCAGAGTTGAGCAGGCTGTGTGCTTTGCTCCACAGGATGCTGGAGAGGACCTCTCAGAACTGGAGCCCAGGCCACTGGCTGCTGGCACTTTACCTGGCCTGGCTGTTGACCCTCCTTGACTCTGCTTCCTTGCAGACGCAAACTCCCACAGGTTTGGGGGAGATGGCAGAGCCTGGGACAGGGTTTCTCGGGATGCCTGGAGAGCTGGGCACCACCCCACGCTATTCCACGCAGGCAGATCCCCAAGGCTGAGAATGCAGATCCTAAGGGCTCTGGCTCCCTCTGTTTTTCATCCAGGAGGATCCACACCCCTCTCTGTGATCCCAGCCCAGGAAAGGCGTGGGCAGACCCCTTGCTCACCTTTCCATCCGGGCCAGAAGGTGTTCTGCAGGGAGAGAGGCCCTGGGGTAGAGGCTTAAGTCTAGCCTCCTGGCCTAATTCTGCGGTTTTCCTTCTGGGATGGCTAAAGCCTGTGTAAGCCGGATGATCTCTCCACGCACTGTAAGCCCCCAGGGCCCTTGCCCTCAAGCGGAGGAAGCCAGAGGAAGTGGGGGCTGGTGGAGAATTCCACTTTTCTTCCGCCCAAGGGCCAGGCTCTGCTAAAGAGGGATGAGTGTGGCCAGACTGGGGAAGAAGGAAAGATAGGAATGCTGAAGCCACAGGAGGATTTCCTGTTTCCTCCCCCACTTCCCACAGTTGGAAATCTCTTGAACACCTCTCCCCGAGGCTGGGAGGCTGGGAGGAGGGCCCGGAGGGTATGCAGTGCAGGTGGGAGAGGAGCAGGGCTGCAGGCCAGGGCTGGGCACCTGATCTTGTCTGGCCACTTCAGTCTTCGCGAAGCAGGGCACCTGCGAGGTGATTGCGGCTCACCGCTGCTGCACCCGGAATCGCATCGAGGAGCGCACCCAGACTGTCAAGTGCTCTTGCTTTCCTGGCCAGGTGGCCGGCACCACACGGGCAGAGCCCTCCTGCGTGGATGGTGAGTGAGAGTCTGGAGCCGGCGGGGGGCGGAGGGGGGGCAGTCACAGAGATAAGGAGGTCTCGGCCACACCATCTGCTCGGGATAGGATTTCCTCCCACCCCAGGGCTCTGGCAATCAGCCTCAAATGCTGGGTAACCTCTGGGGGGAGGGGGGCAGAGGGGACCATCCCCACTTCATCCCTTCCTCCCGTGCACACTGCTGGACACTACCCAGATGCATTCTGCCACACGAATCCTCTCTCGTATCCCGCCAGACTCACACTTAACTTCCCCAGAGCTTGACCTCTTCACCTCCTGCTCCTCCCAGGCCTCTTACACATGCCCCCTCCCATTCTCCTGCAGCCTTGACCCTCCCCTCATGTGGACACACGTGTTTCACTCACCCCCCCCTCCATGGTCGCGCCCATGCCCGTGTGCTCACACTCACATGGCCGTGCGATACACATGCCCACCTATGCTCGCATGCACGCCTGCCTTTGCATCCCTGGTCTGTGGAGCCCTCACACACTTGCTCACATACACCAAGTGGGGATGTTGGGGACTGTGCCTGTCTGTGAATGCCGTGGTGGCTCAACTCAAGGGTCCCTGAGGGAACCGCCCCTTCCTTCACCCTGTGCTGTCTTTGCTGACATGTGGGGGTCAGTGGGATTGAATTTGATACGGTTGTGTGCCCCAGCCCCAGCCTGAGTACTGCCTTTCTGGGCAGCCTGGAGTAGGAGAAAGCCTGGGGAGTGCAGGGCTCAAAGCCAGCGGGGTGCAAACATGCACTTGGTTCTGCGCGAACTCCCCGCCCTTGACTGCACACCGAACCCGAGGACAGCTGAGAGCCGCCCTGCCTTCTGCTCCCACAGCCTCCATCGTCCTGCAGAAGTGGTGGTGCCAGATGGAGCCTTGCCTGCCAGGGGGGGAGTGTAAAGTGCTCCCAGACCTGTCGGGATGGAGCTGCAGCAGCGGACACAGAGTCAAAACCACCAAGGTATCCAGTGATGGTCACTTCCTCCCACCCTACTCTCCCCCTTTCACGCAGGGCTGGCAGGAGCCATGGGCACAGGAGCCTGGGAGTCTGGCTGTCAGTGTCCCCAAAGTGAGATCCATCCATGAACCGTGTGGGCACATCCCTGGACACTCCCCTGGACTGTGCCGGCTCCAGGCACTGGAGTTAGGGCCTCTGGATTTAAACTCTCCTGTGAGGTGGCAAATCCCTGATCTCCATATACCTCGGTTTCCTCTTCTTCCCAGGGTGAGTTTGACTCCCAGAAAATGTCACGTCCTCAAGAACAAAGTAGAGAATTAGGAAATTGTTCAGATAATCCCAAGGGGAATCTCTGACCACCCACCCCTGCTGCAGACCCCACTCTACCCCCAGGATTAACTCCTACACCTCACGCCTGTCTTCCTCTCATCTTACTGCCACAGCGCCCAAAAGGATTATTAATTTCATGGTTTGCTGCCTGCCCCGAAGAACAAGGGGTAATTAAAAGTTTATCAAACTCATTAGCAATTTCATGTGTGTCACAGCTAATCAGTTGCATGGCTCTGTCATCACCATTTGTGCAGATGAGTGACACTTGGGGCCTGCCAGAACTCTGCCTTCTGCCATCCCTTCCCACCACCACACACAGCAGACAAGCAGACACATAAACACAGAAGAGAAGGTGGTCTTCTGGGTTCTGAAGAGAGCAACATATTCATAGAACACAGAACAGAAGGAGCTACGGCAAGAAAAAGTGTGGGTCGATGTAAAGTAGAACATCCTGTCTGCAAGCAGGCAAGGGACACGGCCATCCTGAGTATAATCAAGACCGGAAGACAGTGAGACCCACCAGAGAGCTTGGGACATGTGTTGCTATTTTATAGGTTTGGGTTTATAGCCTGTAGATTGCTGTGTTTGCAGTTTGGGTAGCTACTCTGAAGCAAGAAGTGGTGAGGTGTGTTTGATGGCTTGATTTATGCATCTGTGGGCCACACCAGCCATGCTCTCCCAGTCTGCAGTGCTTTAGGGACAAGGGATCAGCAGCAATGAGCTTTATATGACCTCCTGGTGAATCTTGGGCATTCCCTTCTCCAACCTTCCCCTATCACCTGTTCTCTAGGTCACACGATAGCTCTTGGCGTCACAGTCTAGACAAGACAGTTTGACTGAGCCATGGACTGAAGAATGGTATCAGCCAGCAAAAATGGAGATTCACTTACCTGGACGTATGCCCTGTGCCAAGTGCAAAGCCGTTCTTTCCCAAGGCTTTTCAATTGAGTCGTTCAGCAGATAAGGACGGATCTTCGGCTACATACCTAGTGTTGTGCTGGGTTCTCCTGGGGGACCCAGAAGAAGGTCAAGATACAGTTGCTGCCCTTGAGGGATGCCAAGTCAAGTTGGAGAGTTGTTGAAAAACAATGAGCTAATTTAGGTTAAAACATGTGATGCAGGACTGTGTGTGGCTTCCGGATCAATGCTGTGGGCCTGTTGGGGGTGCGAGGGTGATCTGGTGGCCCTTCAGCCACCCCCTTGCCACAAGGCACCAAGACAAGACGTCATAGTCACCACCCGCCACTTGGCTCCCTCACATGGGTCTGAACACCCAGGAAGCTGCCAACATGCTGAGGGAAAAACCCCTCCCCTTGATGAGAGGCTAGCCATATCTCATTTGCATGGGACTGAGTTGACTTGGGGAAGGAAAGCTTCGATGAAGCCAGACAACTTTCCAGCAAAGCTTCTGCAGGGGTGTGGCCTGGTTTGGGCTATTCACTGGATAGGGGATGGACAGGACCTTAAAATTACCCTCCGTCTAAGCACCTCAGGTTTTTTTTTTTTTTTTTTTTTTTTTTTACAAATAGTTTATTGTCAAATTAGTTTCTACATAACACTCAGTGCTCATCCCCAAAGTGCCCTCCTTCATGCCCATCCCCCCCTGCCCCCCACATCCATCAGTCCTCAGTTTTTGTCAGCATTCAAGAGTCTCTCATGGTTTGCCTCTCTACCTTTCCCCCACCATTTCCACCCTTCTTCTCCCCCTTGGTCCTCCGTCAAGTTCCTCCTAATCCTCCTATACGTGCAAACATATGGTATTTGTCCTTCTCTGCCTGACTTATTTCGCTCAGCATAACACCCTCAAGGTCCATCCATGTTGCTACACATGGCCAGATTTCATTGTTTCTCATTGCCATGTAGTATTCCATGGTATAGATAAACCACATCTTCTTGATCCATTCATCTGTTGATGGACACTTAGGCTCTTTCCATGTTTTAGCTATTGTGGAGAGTGCTGCTATGAACATTGGGGTACATGTGCTCCTATGCCTCAGCATTTCTGTATCCCTTGGGTAAATTCCTAGCAGTGCTATTGCTGGGTCATAAGGGAGTTCTATTGTTAGTTTCCTGAGGAACCTCCACACTGTTTTCCAGAGGGGCTGTACCAGTTTACATTCCCACCAACAGTGCAGGAGGGTGCCCGTTTCTCCACATCCTCGCCAGCATCTAGAGTTCTCTGATTTGCTCATTTTAGCCACTCTGACTGGCGTGAGGTGGTATCTCAGTGTGGTTTTGATTTGTATTTCCCTGATGAGGAGGGATGCTGAGCATCGTTTCATGTGTCTGTTGGCCATCTGGATGTCCTCTTTGGAGAAGTGTCTGTTCATGTCTTCTGCCCATTTCTTCACTGGGTTGTTTGTTTTTCGGGCGTGGAGTTTGGTGAGTTCCTTATAGATTCTGGATATTAACCCTTTATCTGATATGTCATTTGCAACTATCTTTTCCCATTCCGTTGGTTGCCTATTAATTTTCTGGGTTGTTTCCTTGGCTGTGCAGAAGCTTTTAATCTTGATGAGGTCCCAACAGTTTATTTTTGCTCTCGATTCCCTTGCTTTTGGGGATGTGTCAAGTAAGAAGTTGCTGCGGTGGAGGTCAAGGAGGTTGTTTCCTGCTTTCTCCTCTAGGGTGTTGATAGTTTCCTGTCTCACGTTCAGGTCCTTTATCCATTTCGAGTTGATTTTTTAAGCACCTCAGGTTTTTGTTTGCTTATTCTAACAGACGAGGAAACTGGGTCCCAGAGACTAAGACAACTCGTCAAGATCTCCCAGTTTGGGTTCCCAAATCTCTAAGCCCTTTCACTGAGCCTGGATGTGGGACTCCAACCTGGGCCTTCCATGTTCTTATCTCAGAAGAGGAGCCTGCAAAGAACTCAGCAACATTTCTCTTGGGAGACGCCAGAACAGGTCCTTGTTATGTGAAGTAATCCATAATACCTAGGTGCCAGGATGTGAGACCACTGGATCTCCACTCTGCCCTCAGCCTCCAAAATTACTAACAGCCCCCATAACAGCCCAGGGGTCACTCGGCCAGTTACACCTGAGACACTCTGAGCTGGTGGCCCTATTGTCTAGGCTGACGCATCTCTCCCCGAGGGCTTAGGCTCATATGTAACTCCTAGAGGCTCTGGCTCCAGGACAGACTCTGGGTGGAGTTCAGGGATGTTCCCCTAATCCTCTCCCTTCAAAGGTCCTGCTGGGCAGTAAAGGATTCCTTGCAGGGCTGGATGGAGCCTCTGTCCTGGATTGAGGTTTGTCAGAGTGAGAATGACACACAGGCTTCGGGGACTCAGAGATGTGGGCTAGTTGGATATCCCATCAGTAAAAGAATTACAGGCTCAGTGACTGTGAGGATCTGCTGGGATCAGCTGGGATCACCAAGATCACAGAGTGTGTGTGAAAGGGGGTGGGGATCAAGGTGAGGGGTGTCAGCAGAGACCAAGCAGGACAATGCTGAATTCTGACCCCCAGAGGATGGGCTGAGGCTGAATCTCAGCCTCTCCCTGCTTCTTCCCCTTCTTCCCCGAGCAGCCGACCCAAGACTGTTCACCCGACTCGAGGGTGTATCTTCCTGTTTTTGTTTAGCTCTGCTTTTGGTAATGGGGTGGGAAATGATGCCAGCTTCTCACTAGACTGTAAATATGAGAACCCTGCCAGCTTTGAATCTCTGCACCTAGTGGGGTCAGGGTGTGGGGGAAGTCAATGTCAGAGGTGGTCATCACTTCCTTCAAGACCAGGGAATGGATTAAGGGGCTGGCACATCTTCGGGAAAGGGCCGGATAGCAATTATTTTAGGCTTTGCAGGCACTGGCAGCCTCCTGGCCTGCCTTCGGTGCAGTGGGAACCTGAGCATGAGGGCTGGGTTGCGTTTTGTTTTTCTTCTAATGCTCCTTGAGAGGTTGGTGAGTGAATTATTTAGGTGACAAATGAGGCAGCTTAGGCAGAGTCAGACAATAAGAGGCTGCTCTCCTGGAGGCCACGGGGGCTTCTCCACTCCCTCCCCATCCCTTGAGACTGTGTCCAGAAGACAGGGGGAGAGCACCAGCCCCCTGCCCATCTTCTGCATCCACAAACGACGGGGCTATGAGCTGGGGGAGCCTGAGAGAATGGAGGTGATTTTGTGTTAAGTTCCCCACACTGCCCCCACCTCAACTGCCAATCGCCACCAGCTCCCATCTCATCCACGGTCCTGACCCTCCCAGATGTCCCTCATCTCTGCTTACAGAGAAGTCCTCTTTCCTTTGGCATATGCTGGAATTTGCCTCCATTTCCTCATGACCTATTCATCTATTTATTTGGTGGGCTTTGAGGGGTGTCCCTTACATGGCCAGGAGAGCTCCACACAACACAAGAGGGCCTGGTGGAGAAAAGAAAGCCTCCCACCAGGGCGGCTAGGTGGCTCAGTCAGTTAAGCGTTTGATTTTGGCCCAGGTCACGATCTCATGGTCCGTGAGTTCGAGCCGCGTGTTGGTCTCTGTGCTGACAGCTCAGAGCCTGGAGCCTGCTTCAGATTCTGTCTCCCTCCCTCTAACTGCTCCTCCCCTGCTCACACTCTCTATCTCAAAACTAAATAAAGATTTAAAAAAATTAAAAAAGAAAACCTCCCACTTTCAACAGTAGTTCCCTAGGGTCCTGTTTCCAACTAAGTCAATATTAGTGCACATTTTGTAGCAACTTCAAAGGCAGTTTAGGAATGCATTTTTTCCTGGAGCATTGGGGTTTCTGGAGTCATTTGTCAGTGGGCTGGACACTCTGGATTCTCTCACATTAGCTGGTATCCTCACCTCAGCTGTGAAGGCCTTAGGAAGGTCGCCAACTGCCAGAGATCATGTGGCTAATTTCTGTGACCTCCTACCAGTCTCATTAAGGTCTGTGAGTGACGTCATAATTAATGGTCCCAGACAGTTGCCTCAGGTTGAGGCTGCAGCTTCCCAAAATCATAAGCTTTGATCTAGAAGGACTTTTAGAGATCAGTTAGCCAACACTTTGATCTGACAGTTGAGGAAAGGGAGGCTCAGAGAGGTTAGGTGATTGACTCACAGTCACACAGTATGTCCTCCCAGTGATCCAGACAAGTGTTCTTTACTGTACATGCCTCTATACTCCAATACAGAGTACTCCAATACTCTGTACTCCAACTCAAAAGGAAACCAGGGTTGTAGCAAGGATGGTTGTGAAAGAGTCTCATTCTAAATTTTCCAAACCCTGTGGGTGCAAGGGGACAGAATGAAGAACAGAAAGTATTTAGAGAAATATATACAGAGAGAGAAGTAAAGACAAAAAGGAGGGATTGGGATAACTCATTCCGATGAACATCAAAATACAAAGCACAGAACATAATAGAACAAAACTAATGCCAAACCCAAAATAGTTGATTTTTGTCATTTCTGGAGGACGTAGAATGAAGCCCCTCTCAACCTTTGGAATACCTGTGAAGCCAGTCTTGATGGCTTCTGCCTTCTTTAGATTCCAGTGTGGAGGTCTGCAAACTAAAGCCCGTGGACTGAATCTGGCCCGCTGACTCTTTTTGCAAATAAAGTTTTATTGGAACATAACTGTTCTCACTTGTTTGTTTTGTCTATGACTACTTTCCTGCTGGGACAGAACTGAGACATTGCAGAGAGACCATATGTCCCAGAAGGCCTAAAATATTTACTGTCAGACCCTTTGTAGAAGACTTTTGCCAATCCCTGCCCTAGTGTTTCAACTGAATCTTTCTCAGTACGTGCATACAATCTGGAAAAAGACAGCTCTGTGGTGTATTTCTGGGTTTGGGATTTTTTGGAGGCTGTGCTTGTGTCTCCTTTAATCCTTCCCAGTGCCACTTGCGAGACCTAACAACCAAAGAAATGAAGTCATAAAGGCTAAGGGGGCCAACAGAAAGACTTGGAATGCAGAAGAATGCTTCATTAGTACGTTATCACACCCCAAGTCAACTCAGTTCATGTTTTCCAAGTTCATGTAACTTCTGCTTTTAAACTCAAGGAAAGTAACTGCATGTGCCATGTATACACATATGCTGCTGGTGTTTCTGTGCATCTGTGGATTGGGGTATTTCCATGCCCACAAACAAGGCTGATATGCAAAATATATAAAAACTAGATTAGCACAGAGACTGACAAGACAGATTCCAGCCTGTATGTTCCCGCTCCATCTTCGGTGGCTGAGATGTGACTTCAGAACAGGAAGGAGTTCATTTCTCTCTTCCCCCAGTGTGAGCAGCTAAGCTGGTTCCTGACTTCCTTGGGCTTGTGATTTGTCACTGAACGTGGGTTGTGGATCTGGGTTTGTGCAGGGGTACAGAAGCTACTAGACTCAGATGGCTATAAACATTGTAATAGACACATAGACTGAGCATAAGGAGGACCAAGCAACTTCCTTTTAGGCCTTACGTGAGGCTACAAACTCCTCTTCAGTGTGGTTTAGGGGGAGAGGATTCCAACCATTTAGAAGGCTGGATCGATCCACATGTTTGGCAATCTGCCATCACCTCTATTAGTGAATGTCTACCATGTGTCAAGCACCATGCGAGGCTCTTTATATAGGTAACAGGATGTTAAATGGGACTTTCCTCATCTCAAAATTTGGACAGAGGCCCCAAAGTTCAGAAAAGAAAGCTAGGTATCAACTACTCTCAATGACCCCCACATTCTAAATCAAGATGGTAGACTATTTCTACAGATTTGTAAAAGAGGTGATCAATAGTCCATTACTCACCTCCAGACTATATAAGAGAGGGTAAGAGTTCAAATAGAAAGGGAGGTGGTAGTGAAGATCTGTCTGGAGAGGGTTGCCACTTCCTCCTTCCCCCAGCCAAGGGGAAGGTTTAGGTGTTGATTCTTACTACACCCTACTTAGGGGGATTGCAGAAAAGAACTCAAAAGAGCTTGACTTCAGTCAGCTGGACAGCGGGGGACAGAGGGACTCAGGTCTGAAAATGATCTAAAGGCCAGTGGCTATGGTCGGCTTGCTGGCCTGGACAGGAAGCCCAGAGAACTCTCTTGGGGGCAAGCCGCACATCCAGAGCTTAGCAGAACATAGATGTTTGTGTGTTTTCCGAGGGACTATGTGGACTGTCCAAGAGGGCTACCTGGAAAAGCGAGGTAGCCCCAGCTAGGGAGAGGCTGCCACAAATCCTGGGGCTGAGAGGGAGTCATTAAGTGGCCAGTGTGAGGGAGGTATCAAGAGACCTGTAAGCAGCAACAGGGCATATTCCAGAAAACCCAAGACAATGTTCCAGAAGACAATGTCCAAATCCTGAGATGGAAAAGAGACTCAGAGAAACTCACAGACATGAAACAATTTGCTCAATATCAGGCGGCTAACACGGCATATGACAGTTTTGTACTGTGTTGGTTTGGGTCAGCTGAAACTATTTCCCAGAATTCTCTTCCCTGCATAGTTCCAGATTAGAGTTGCCAAAGTTGGAAGGCAGAGAAGTGTGGCAGTAACAATTACTTTCTGAAGGCCGTCATGATTACAGGTGCCAGCAGGTTCTAGGCTGTGGTCATTTCCCCTCAAACCACAACAAGCTTTTCTCAGCAAATCTGAGCCTTTCTGACCAACAGCAACCCCAAGCCAACCCCCAGATGGAGAGGCAACAGTGTCCCATATAAACTTCTCCACCAACTCTTTAGATCCTGCTCTAAACTGGACATGACACCTGGACATGACTGACTTGGGTAGGTTGCTTCTGAGTGTGCTCAAGAACTTGGAGAAAGAAAACTATGAGCAAAGGGCTATAAGTTCTAAACTCAAGACACTTAAGGGAGCAGAATTGTTCTGTGATTGCCTTAAAATAAACCTTTATTTCCTGTAGCTGCGGGGTTGAGATTTCTGAAAACCAAACTCAAAGTAGCCAGGTGGCAGTCTCTACTTCCATTTTAATAAGATCATTTTTGTCTCCCGGGGTGGAGACATTTTTCCCTTGGGATCTAATACCTCTAAATCAGCAGTGCCCTAAGTTCTAGGAATGAGAAGTAGCATTTTGCAGGTGACTCATTAGGGATAGGAATGAGAAGAACCTCTCCCTAGGTTTTCTTTTATTTCCACTCCGTACTGGTTCACTAACACATACAATGAGGCTGTTATGGTGGGAAATGTCAAGCAGAAGCTTCTAGAATGGTCTGTACCTACCAAAATGGTAAGCGATCTCATTCTTGGAGAGATTGCAGAGAGGAGTGTCACCATCAGAACTTGAAGGACGTGGTGGTGGCGATTATCCTCTCCCAGTTTGCCTGTTTCCTCTGTGTAGAATACGAATAAATGGATTTTGGAGAATAAGTGCATGATCATAAACTTAATCAGGTTGGCTTCGGTTTCAGCTTCCGTTACAGACATGGTTTCTCTACTGGAGCAACGACACCCTTTGCGCCTAGTATTCAGGTATTGATCTGGCAAACATCTTTTCTTTGCACCTGTTCCTAAAGATCACCAGAAACAGTTTCCTTTCAACTGGCGAGGCCAGCAATACACTTTCACTCTCTTTCCTCAGGGCTCTTTCAACCACGCGGATGCCATGATGCTGGATGGACCAGATGAGTAGGAAGTAGCAGGTGCCCTAAACGCTTTGGTAAGACACATGTATGCCGGATGGTGTGAAATAAATCCTACAGAAGTTAGGGAGCTTGCCACTCTGGTAAATTTCCAAGGATCCTGGTGATTGGAAGCCTGATAAAATATCCTTGCTCCGGTAAAGGACAGGCTGATACCCCTGGCGTCTCGCACCAGGAAGAAAAAGGCACAGTGCTTAGTGGGCCTCTTTTGGATTTTGAAAATAACCTCTTCTTCATTTGTGTATGCTGCTCTGACTAATTTGTCAGAAAAGCCAAACGTCTGCCAGTTTTGAGTAGGATCCAGAACAAGAGAAGGCTCTGCAAAAAGGTACAGGTTGCTGTGCAAACGTCTCTGCGCCTCGGGCCATACTATCGGTCACATCCAATGGCCCTTAAAGTGTCTAGCCCTCTATGGAGCCACAGACCCTGTAGAGAGCCTTTGGCAGCTTCTGAAGCTGAGTCAGAGTAAACTCTTAGGATAATGGATCAAGCTATGCCATTCTCTTCAGATAATTATTTTCCTTTTGAGAGATAGCTTCCAGCATTTATTGGATCCTACTAGAGGTTAAATATTTGACTATGAATCACCATGTTACCTATGACCTGAGCTGCCCATCATAAACAGGGTGTTCTTGGCCATTAAGCCATAAAGATGGGAATTCACAGCAGTATTCCATTATCAATGGAAGTGGTATGTATACGTGATAGGACTTGAGCAAGTCCTAAAGGCAAGAGGAAGTTGCGTGAATATGTGCCTCAAATTCCCTTGGCTCTGATTCCTACTAAACTGCCTCCCACGGTGCCTATGTCCCTCAGTGGGTTGAGCGTTTGATTTCGGCTCACACTTGTGAGTTCAAGCCCTGCATCAGGCTCACTGCTGACAGCACAGAGCCCACTTTGGATCCTCTGTCCCTCCCTCTCTGCCCCTCCCCTGCTCACACACCCTCTCCCAAATATGAATAAATATTTTACAAAAAGAAACTGCCTCCTCTTTCTCAACCCATACCTATGGTCTCACAAGAAATTCTCTATGACCAGTTGACTAAGAAACAAAAAAAGAGCCTGACCCTCTTCACTGATGGTTCTTGCTTCTGCATGATTGGAATGATTCCAGCTACTACCTGAAAGTGGAAAGCTGCGGCACTACTGCCCCACTCGGAGGAGACACTGAAGTCTTCCCAGTGTGCAGAACTTACAGCAGTACGCATAGAGGCTCATCTTGCCTGAAAGCAGAGATGGCCAGAGGTACAGACAGACACTGAAGAAACGGGATGTGTGTGTGTACTGTGGCTTTGGCTTTTAAGTTCAGAGGATTGGAGGGAATGTATTTGGAAAATTGGTGACAAGGATAATGGGAAAGAGGAGTGTGGTTGAACTATTCTAAACTGATATGAAGTGTGAAAATATCCATATCTTACATGAGTGTTTACCAAAGTGCAACCTCATTAGAGGGGAATCTTAATAGTCAGGACACTAAAATGCCATTTTCTTTCCCCAGCCATCTTCTCCAGTCATCCCTGGCTCTGTCAACGGCTCACAATCAAAGTGTACGTGTGGCAAAGATAGGAGTTATGTGTGGCTCAGCGCTGGGGCTCCTATTCAAGTCTGATATGACTACTGTCACTGCTAAGTACTCAACCTGCCAACAGCAGAGACCAGCACTGAACCCTCAATGTTGGCACAATTTCCTAGGGTGTGGAGCCAGCCACTTGGTGCTAGGTTGATTATATTGGAACACTCCCATAATGGAAGGAGTAGTGCTTCTTCTCACAAGTAGATACTTACCCTGGACATAGATTTTTCTTCCCTGTTCACGTGCTTCTGCCAAAAGCACCATCTACAGACTTATAGAACATTTTATTTATTGTCCTGGTATTCCACTAAGTATAGCCTCTGACCAAGGAGCTCATTTAACAGCAAATTAAGTGTGGTAATGAGCTCATGATCCTAGAATACACAGGTCTTACCATGTGCGCGATCCCCTTGAAGTAAATGGCCTGAAGGAATGCTAGAACAATCTTTTGGACCCTCAGTGTCAACACAAATTCAGTGCCAACACTGGGCAGGGCAATGTCCTCCAGAATGCTATATATGCCCCCAGTCAATGATCAATATAAAGTTCCAGTTTCTCCCTTCAGTAACTGTCTCACTGGTTGGCAGATCAGGACCAGGAAAAAGCGCACGCTAAAGTGGGAATTGATGTGTCGAATTTTTTAATGTAAATTGTCTCGTTTCATCCTCACCAAAATTCCATAAGGTTACATATTCTTATTCTGATTTCACAGACAAGGAATCTAAAACTCAGAGAGGTTAGGTAATTTTCCAAAGATCACACAGGATAAACAGCAGAGTAGGATTTGAACCCAGATCTGCTCAGCTCTAAAGCTCATATTCTTGCAGCACACGTGGACTGTGTTCCCGCCATCTCCTCCAGGACTGAGCAGCCCCGAGCCCAAATGCTTTACAACTGATGTTTAGGAAAGATGAGAGAGGCTGAGGGATGAACTGGGTAATAAGTGTCACGATAGACGTGCGTCCTCTGTGCTATAGTAGAAACTATTTAGAAAAGAAACTAAATCCAGCATGGGGAAGGCAAACTGAGAACCAAGTCTTTAAAGGTAAAGAGAGAGAGACAGAGAGAGAGAGTGTGTGTGTTGGGCAGGGGAGGATGAGAACGTGTGCTGGGTTGGGGGAGGGAGGCTGGTCTCCGCCATGCGCTGTGCCGGGGCCTCTCCCCGAGTAGGGTTGGTGGGGAGGTCTAGTGGGAGCCCATGAGCTTGCAGATTGGGTCTGTGTGCATAAGACCCACCTCAGTGGGCGATGAGTGGGGCGCAGTGGGCCCGAGAGCTCCTGGAGATTCCAAGCGGTGCCGTCTCGTCTGGAGTGAGCCTCGACGCTGATCAGCCGGCCTCGACCAACCCCGGCGGCGGGGTGCTCCCCGCAGGGAGGCTTGTCCTTTCCAGCTCCGCCCTCCTTAGGCTGCTCTCTCCTGCCTGCATCCGGGGGGCCGGGGCCTGCAGTGAACTGCGTCCTCGTGCCCGTCCCGCCCAGTCGGGTTTACCCAGATCTCAGGACGCCACGGTGCGATTCCGAGGCCTTTGGGACGCGAGGACGGGGTCCTCGACCTGGGGACACGCGCTCCGAGTCCCCTGCGCCCATCCTTCCTCCCCGCGGTGGCCAGAGCAGGCGGGCGGAGGCGCGCTTCGCTGAGAGGTGGGGCCTTGCTGGGTTTGCACGCGCGACACCCTCTCGCGGCCGGCTTGGCCCGCACACACCCAGCGAGGAGGCGACAGGAAAGGTCCCCAGCCACCGCCTCCTCCGGCTGGCCTTTGTGACCGAACTTGTGCCGCCTCCGCCTGCTCTGAGGTCCAGGGAGGGGTCCACCAGAGCTGCTGTCGGGTTAACCCTTGGACTTTCTCCAGGGCGGACCCTGTGGCACTCAGAAAAAGTCCCCAGGCAGATGGGGCGCCTGAGTGGCCCAGTCGATGAAGCATTCGACTTTGGCTCAGGTCATGATCTTACCGTTTGTGAGCTGGAGCCCTGCATCTGGCTCAGTCCTGACAGCTCAGAGCCTGGAGCCTGCTTCTGATTCTGTGTTTTCCTCTCTCTCTCTCTCTCTCTCTGTCCGTCTCCCACTCTGCTCTGTCTCTCTCTCAAAAATAAATAAACATTAAAAACTAAATAAAAAAGAAAAAGTCTCCAGGCAGAAAGGTCCAGGGCAAATGGAAGAGTAAAAAAGGTGCAGTCTGTTCAAACTGAAGCCCAATGAATGCTGTGCTTTCTTATTTTTAAAAATCTAAGTTATCACAGTATAGTTTATATGCAATAAAATGCACCCATTTTAAACGGACATTTCAGTGAGGTTTGACACATTTATATACCGCCACCGTGATCAAGATACAGATCAAGATACAAAAGATTTCCTTTTATATAATTTATTGTCAAGTTGGCTAACATACAGTGTACACAGTGTGCTCTTAGCTTCAGGAGTAGATTCCCATGATTCATCGCTTACATACAGCATTCAGTGCTCATCCCAACAAGTGCCCTCGTCAATGCCCATCACCCATTTCGCCCTCTCCCCCCGCCTCCCATCAACCTTCAGTTTGTTCTCTGTATTTAAGAGTCTCTTATGGGTTTGCCTCCCTCCCCCTCTGCAACTATTTATCCCCTTCCCCTCCCCCATGATCTTCTGTTAAGTTTCTCAAGTTCCACGTATGAGTGAAAACATATGCTATCTGTCTTTCTCTAACTAATTTCACTTAGCATAATACCCTCCAGTTCCATTCATGTTGCTGCAAATGGCAGGATTTCATTCCTGCTCATTGCCAAGTAGTATTTCATTGTATGTATGAACCACGTCTTCTTTTTTTTTCTTTTTACAAATAGTTTATTGTCAAGTTGGTTTCCATATAACACCCAGTGCTCATCCCCACAAGTACCCTCCTCCATGCCCATCTCCCCTCTCCCCCCCCACCCATCAGTCCTCGTTTGCTCTCAGCATTCAAGAGACTCTCATGGTTTGCCTCTCTCCCCCTCCCCCACTATTTCCCCCCTTCTTCTCTCCCACGGTTCTCCGTTAAGTTCCTCCTAATCCTCCTAGACGTGCAAACATATGGTAGCTGTCCTTCTCTGCCTGACTTATTTCGCTCAGCATAACACCCTCAAGGTCCATCCATGTTGCTACACATGGCCAGATATCATTCTTACTCATTGCAATGTAGTATTCCATAGTATAGATAAACCACATCTTCTTGATCCATTCGTCCATTGATGGACACTTAGGCTCTTTCCATGTTTTGGCTATTGTGGAGAGTACTGCTATGAACATTGGGGTCCATGTGCCCCTATGCATCAGCACTCCTGTATCCTTTGGGTAAATTCCTAGCAGTGCTATTGCTGGGTCCTAGGGGAGTTCTGTTGTTAGTTTCCTGAGGAAACTCCACACTGTTTTCCAGAGGGGCTGCACCAGTTTGCATTCCCACCAACACTGTAGGAGGGTGCCCGTTTCTCCACATCCTCGCCAGCATCTAGAGTCCTCTGATTTGCTCATTTTAACCACTCTGACCGGCGTGAGGTGGGATCTCAGTGTGGTTTTGATTTGTATTTCGCTGATGAGGAGGGATGTCTAACATCTTTTCATGTATCTGTTGGCCATCTGGATGTCTTCTTTGGAAAAGTGTCTTTTCACGTCTTCTGCCCATTTCTTCACTGGATTATGTGTTTTTCAGGTGTTGAGTCTGGTAAATTCTTCATAGATTTTGGATACTAATCCCTTATCTGATATGTCATTTGCAAATAACTTTTCCCATTCCATCGGTTGCCTTTTAGTTTTGTTGATTGTTTCCTTTTCAGTGCAGAAGCTTTTTATTTTGATGAGGTCCCAGTAGTTCATTTTTGCTTTTAATTCTCTTGCCTTTGGAAATGTGGCAAGCAGGAAATTACTGCCGCTGAGGTCAAAGAGGTTGCTGCCTGTTTCCTCCTCCTGGGCTTTGATGGTTTCCTGTATGACATTTAGGTCTTTCATCTATTTTGAGTTTATTTTTGTGTATGGTATGAAAAAGTGGTCCAGTTTCATTCTTCTGCATATTGCTGTCCAGTTCTCCAAGCACCGTTTGCTAAAGAGACTTTTTTCCATTGGATACTCTTTCCTGCTTTGTCAGTGATTAGCTAGCCATACATTTGTGGGTCCAATTCTGGGTTCTCTATTCTATTCCATTGATCTGTGTGTCTGTTTTTGTGCCAGTACCATACTGTCTTGACATTTACAGCTTGCTTTTTTTTTTTTTTTTTTTTTTTTTTTTTTTTTTTTTTTTTTTTTTTTTTTTTTTTTTTTTTTTTTTTTTTTTTTTTTTTTTTTTTTTTTTTTTTTTTTTTTTTTTTTTTTACAAATAGTTTATTGTCATTTACAGCTTTCTAGTAGAGGCTAAAGTCTGGGATTGTGATGCCTCCCACTTTGGTTTTCTTTTTCAGTACTACTTCAGCTATTTGGGGTCTTCTCTGGTTCCATACAAATTTTAGGTTTATTAGTTCTAGCTCTGAGAAGAATGCCAGCGCAATTTTGATTGGGATTGCACTGAATGTGTAGATTTCTTTGGGTAGTATTAACATTTTAACAGTATTTGTTTTCTGGGGCACCTGGGTGGCTCTCAGTTGGGTGTCCGACTTTGGCTCAGGTCATGATCTCATGGTTCGTGGGTTCAAGCCCCGTGTCGGGCTCTGTGCTGACAGCCAGCTCAGAGCTTGGAGCCTGTTTCAGATTCTGTATCTCCCTCTCTCTATGACCCTCCCCTGCTCATGGTCTCTTTCTCTCTCTCTCTCAGAAATGAATAAAACATTAAAACTTTTTTAAAAAAAACAATATTTGTTTTCCAATCCATGAGCATGGGATGTTTTCCCATTTCTCTGTGTCTTCTTCAATTTCCTTCATAAGTTTTCTGTAGTTTTCAGCATACAGATCTTTTACGTTTTTGGTTAGGTTTATTCCTAGGTATTTTATGGTTTGTTGTGTAATTGTAAATGGGACTAATGTCTTGATTTCTTTTGCTGTTGCTTCATTATTGGTGTATAAAAATGCAACTGATTTCTGTACATTGATTTTTTTTATCCTGCAACTCTGCTGAATTCATGTGTCAGTTCTAGCAGCTTTTTGGTGGAGTCTTTTGGGTTTTCCATGTAGAGTATCATGTCATCTGCGAAAAGTGAAAGTATGACTTCATCTTTGCCAATTATGATGCATTTAAAATCCTTTTGTTGTCTGATAGATGATGCAAGGAATTCCAGAACTATGTTAAACAGCAGTGGTGAGAGTGGACATCCCTGTCGTGTTCCTGATCTCAGGGGGAAAGCTCTCAGTTTTTCCCTGGTATTATTAGCCTTTTAAATTTTAGCTAATCTACTAGGCATCCTGTTGCACCTCATTGTATTTTTAAATTTTATTTCTCTAATAAGTAATGATACTGAGCATCTTTTCATGTGCTCATTCTTAAAATTCATATCTTTTATTTCTTGCAGTATCTGTTCAAATACTTTGATTTGATCATTCCTATAATTTACTTTGCATTACTGAGCTGTAAGGTTTTATATATATGTATATATTTCAGATATGTTTTGCATGTATTTTCTCACAGTCTTTCCATTTTCTTAACTCTGTGTTTCAAAGTGTCAAGTTTTATGGGTTTTTTGCTTGTTTTTTTTTGTTTGTTTGTTTCTTTTTAAGTAACTGCTGCATCCAACGTGAGGTTCGAACTCACAACCCTGAGATCAAGAGTCACAGGGTGGCTCTTCCAACTGAGCCAGCCAGGCGTTCCTAAAATTTTAGTTTTGATGAAGTCCAATGATCACCATTTTTGTATGGTTGATGACTTTTGAGTCCTATCTAAGATATCTTTTGCCTTAAAGGCTACACAAACTTTTCTCTTTTGTTTTCTTATTCAGAATTAAGAGTTTCTGCTCTTATGTTCAGGTCTGTAATTCATTTCCAGTTAAGTTTGTTTGTTTGTTTTTTAATGTTTTATTTATTTCTGAGAGAGAGAGAGAGAGAGAGAGACAGCATGAGCAAGACAGGGTCAGAGAGAGAGGGAGATACAGAATCTGAAGCAGGCTCCAGGGTCTGACCTGTCAGCACAGAGCCTGACTGGAGCTTGAACCCACAAACCATGAGATCATGACCTGAGCCGAAGTCAGACGCTTAACCGACTGAGCCACCCGGGTACCCCATTTCCAGTTAAGCTTGGTATGTGGTGTGAAGTAGGGGTTCAGGTTCACTTTTCTCCTCTATGGATATCCCATTATTCGAGCACCATTTGTTCATTGGACGACTCTTCCCCTATTAAATTATTTTGGTACTTGTAGCCAGCCTTTAAGATGGCATCTAATGAATACCTTCTTTTTTTTTAATTTAATTTTTTTTTAATTTACATCCAAGTTATCCTAATGAATACCTTCTGAATTGCAGCCCATATGTGGTCTTCTCCCACACACAATATGGCTGCTCTGTGCAACTAGTATAATATTTGTCTTCATCTCTTTGGGCTGCTCTCATACCGATACCATAGCAGGGTGGTTTAAACAGCAGAAATGTATTTCTCATCGTTCTGGAGGCCGGAAAACCCAATATAAAGGTGCCAGCTGACTCATTTCCTGGTGAGAGCCCTCTTCCTGGTTTGCATGCAGATACCTCCTTGCTGTATCCTCACACAAGGGGGCAAGAGAAAAAACAGCTCTCTCCTGTCTCGTGTAAAGACACTAATCCCTTTCATAA